AGGAGATTGTGGTGCTTTACAATGATAACAGAAAGCATTTATCTTAGGTTCTAATCGCTCCGTACACACCAGACATGATCCAACGCTATATCCTTTTATTAGACAATACTTTTGTTTACTTTCATCATATGTGAATCCGATGGTAACCCAAACAATATCTGGATGCTCATCACATAACTAGTGAAAATGATACATAAAAGTCAATAATTATTTAAACTGTTCAATAAAAATGACGCACAAGTAAATAGTTTACCTCGGCATAATATAAATCATTTGTCTCGTCTGTTATCTCAAGTGTAATCAATTTAACACGATAATAAGTAGGCAGACCATATAATGCTATGCCAAATACCCCCTTATCAGCAATGCAATCGTATGGAATCCATTCCAAATAGGCGTGATTGGCTGAGTTTGTTTGTAATTGAGATTTCTTAATAAACTCGTCGAGTTGCTTATTGTTGCTAGTCCATCCATCAGATAATTCTTTATGACCGCAAATGCACCACACAGGACTACATCGGAGTATTCCACATGCAGTGCAGAATCCATATCGGGAGTAACAATGGTAAAACTGTCTCTTAGCAACCATGAAATACTTGTCATTAGACTTGGTGAATCCTTTTATAAGCCAGTTGCGCTCTTCAAGCCATTCCTTGTATCGTCTGAATTGACTGATATCATTATTGTACTCGTGTGTTGGAAGTGAGTATATTCTAGCAAACTCACTCACTAGTGTTGGTATATATATCTCATCATTCCCAAGTAGTGAAAGCATTATCTTATCATCATCATCATCATCATCACCAGTTCGCTTGTAAATAGCATAATAGACGTTGTCAATTTGAGTTGGCTTTATGTCAGTGATTTCCTCGTAAGGAATCCATTCAAGTCTTAATGATTCATCTTCACTTTCCAAGGAGGATTGAACTAAGTTGTCAATTGTTGGATTATTAACAAACCCTGATGTTAATAACGACATAGTTTGAATTAAAAAATTTTTTTTTCTCAAATTATTGTATTACGTTGCACGTGACATTCTTCACTCTAAAGATGAAGAATTTTTCCGCCAGATAAAGAGAATTCTCCCATGCTTCTAACAAATGAACCGCCATTACAGATTTACCTATTTGAAGAATAAGTGTATTCGAAACCATGAATACCACTGCTGGCCCTTCTATTAAGAATAAACGCAAGAATATATCTAATTCATTATCTGGTAGTAAAAAACTTCGATCAATTATGAGAAAGACTTTTAACGGGACTACAGTACCCTGCCAGAAATAAGCGGTCACCACGAAAATTAAAACATATGGAATGTTTTTCTTTTCAAAAATCTTTCCTGCACATGTCGAAGGATGATATTTTTTGTATAGTTCGGAAGCTAATTGATTGTGCTTTTCGAAAAAAATTGTGTATATTATCGTTATAAATCAGTATCTTGACGAAGTGTGAGTATACGTGCTATACATATTAATATATAATTATAGATTTTCATATCGTGATTTAAAGACAGCTACTTCAACTTGCTACCGCTTTACAACAATAAGTTATAAAAATTTATTGTTAATTTTTTGGAAAAGCACAATCAATTAGCTTCCGAACCATATTATCCTTCGTATAGTACACATATGCAGGAGAGATTTTTGAAAAGAAAGACATTCCGTATGTTTTACTAGTAAAGGTGACCACTCATTTCTGGTAGGGTACTGTACAAAAGAAGAAATGTTCAATACGCGCTTATATCAAAATCAGAAACTTGCACAGAAATTTTTAATAGTCATGTCAAGTAATTGAAACACGCAAACAGTCCAGTATCCCAATATTTCCCAATAGTAGCAATTTGTGTTGACGCCGCAATATACCGATAAAATAAAACCTCTGTAGCTTAAACCATTACCACCAGCCCGTCGACTATGTACTGTATATCGAAATTGCTGACGAATTTCATGCCACCCGATTATGTGTTATTAAATAAATTTCCCGTTTTACCGAAAATTTATGTCAATTGATTTAATTAGTGAAACGATTAGATGATATTTAAACGGTAGTAGTTCTCTAGCAAACGACATCTTATCTTATAGTTTGGATTTGTTCTTTTATCCGAACATTTCTTCAACACTTGGCTCGAGAATTAATTTGTATCACAGAAGGCGAGCCATATCAATCACTATTGGGTTAGTAAGTTTATTCAAATGTTGCTTAAGAAAAGCATCTGTCGCTTTTGAGGAAGAATACTACTATCCTTATGGAATTATTATTACGGCCACTGAGTGGTACCTTTTCCTCTACACTTCAGAAGAAATTTCATGTACAAGTAAAAGTGAGTACCACGTAAGTCTCACCGAAGCTATTGTTAAAGAAGGAAACGAAGCTAAATTGCGCAAAAACATTAAGCTGTGATAGGCTATTGTTGGTTTACTGGAAGATAGAGCTGATGTTGAGGAAGAGCCAAAAAAGAAAAAGACTGGGTTCAAGCATACCAGCCACGTAATGTTGTTTGTAAAAAACTCTTTATGGTCCAAATAAAGGATCATAGGCTTTTCATCGGGAATTCACACAACTTGTACATTATCTCGTAAAGACTTCGATGCTGATTTATCAAGCTTTCTACCGATTTATAAGAATAATGAATGTGCTACTATGCAATATTTGTAAAAAATGGAGATCACACAAATTATGATCTAAAAGAATTTAAAGTATTACTCAATCGAGAAAAAGACCGTAGCAAACAACCTACACACTTGAGGACTTAAAATAGATGGCCATCTGAAAAAGGTTCTTCCCAGGGCTCGTTCAAGTGATAATACAATCGGGTCTGCCAAAATCAAATTTCAATCTTACAGCTGAAAAAATAATACCTGAGCTCTCAATTTCTTCATCTTCGGAATTTCTCATTAAAATGAATTTTATATATACCTTTTACAGCAAAAACTCCAAATGTCGCGAGAAAAATTGGAACAATGGAGAGCCAATATTGCCTTTGAATTTCGGGATAATATGAATTACTGGGGGGGGGGAAACGCGAAAGTATGAATGAGGATGATTCTTAAAATATAAGCGGGAATATGAAGCCCTTCAATGCAAAAAAGAATTAAGTAAACTTTCTTTAATATCTATTGAATACGTATAATGGATCTTAATTAATATAAATCAGGCAAATTTTTCGTGTCTAAGATTGTGGTTCAACTAGTTATTTATCCAGATAATGATAAGGGGATTGTTATTATTCTTACAATACAAAACTAGTATATACACAAAAAGTTTTAATTGAAAAATAATTTCTTTATAGTCTCACTTATTGCTCCGTAGTAAAACATATTACGTAGCAAATTTTAACACAGCTAAAAACGTGCGGATTCACTGTCCCGTTCACATAATTTTATCGATATCTAAAAAAGGTTTCAATCCGGCTAAAAACGTTAAAAAATGTGCGGACGCTCACATTAAGAATTTTTATATTTATATATTTTTTATTACGCTATCTCTATCAAATGACATAAAACGGGAAAACAGATATATTATAATAGCAAAAAAAATATAAATTGATATCTCTTCTCAAATAGAAATGGCGTCTTCACCAAGTATACAATCTTTTCCTCGTTTAAAAACCCTTAGAAACAATTCACAACGTTTTCTGGGCATAGCGCTAAGAAATATAATTAGTCAGGCTTTGGATGAAATAATTCATTATCGGTAATGTTATAGTCAAATAAAAAAAAGAGTATAATAAAAAGCAAGAATTATTGTGCCACATTACTGCGCTAAAATATGGGTTCCTGATTCAGTATTTCGATTACCATCCATCAGTTACGCGCACTCCGTGCATAAGCTAATACTTAGCTATCGGCAATTAATATCTAGTTATTCGTAAACTTGGTTTACAGTTTTCTTGATAATCGGTAATCTCAAAATGTATTCCACTTGGTATAAAGCTAATAGTAAGATATTATTGAGTAACAATATCGTTGGCAAAAAATTTTCGTAGATTAGAATTAAGCGTAAGCGAGCAGATAGTGGAAAAAGAAAAAGGAAATATATTCTTAATCGTCCGCGAAGCAGCGCTCTGCGCCTAAACAAAACATATAAATTATTTAGTAATACTCAACCCGTTTGGCAAGGCATAATAATAATAAACTTCGAATGATGAAGCCAAACATTTATGCATCGAGTATTTCTCGACATTATTACCTTTTTTTTCGTTTTGAGTATTGTATATATAACCAATAAAGGTCATAGAAATGGCATCCTTACCCAGGATACGAGGCAACACAATATTTGCCCTATTTGAAAGTCTCTGTCAATTGATTAGAAACATTCTAGATGTAACACTGTGAAAAACTGTTAATCGGGTTTTGGATGAAATAATACCACAGAAACCGTGAGATAGAAAGGCAATTTCAAGAGATTAGATCGTATTTACATTGCTCGAATGACGACACGATTGTAAATATTCGTTGTCACTCACGAAATAACTTACAAATTTTTTTTCAGCTATCTCAAATGACGACACGAATGTGAGCTTAGATTCGGTGACTTCATCTTACCGAGAGTCACTGATAAAGAAAGACCATTCAGGAGAGATGCCCAAAGAACTTCAGAATTTTTACATTGATTTTCAGAAATTTGCGTGTCACTTGATTAGAGCCACGAGTTAGAGATGATTATTCTTAGGTAATTGTTTATTAATTATCCATCGCATATTTCGCTATTTATGGTTCACTATCATAAGTCGCGCTTGTGATCAGTTTCTACTGAATTTTAACATCCAAGGCTTATTACAAAGCAGCTTTAGACGTCCACCTTACTTGCGTCTAATAACGGATACAAAACTACAACTCCTTTGATGTTATTATAATAATAGTAACGAGAGTAGTAGTAACAGATAAACGGAGAGGATATGAGTGATAGAAACTCATTTCTAGCTTGACCAAAACATCTAGGACGCTGTTTTAAATAACGCTCGTATGGTTTGGCTTATAGTCTGACACAGATTTTAATTATTATATGATAGGCAGTGGATTCCCACGTTCATCCTTTGGTTCATACGTACTAACACCCTCCTTATACAATTCCTCTTTGTAAATTTCCATTCTAGTTTGCTCCTGTTCTTCAGGAATCTTCAACTCTCTCACATGCCAATCCTCATAACTACCATCCGGTAAGAATCGACGAATCATAAGAGGGATCTTCTTTGCTTTTAATTCTAATCGTGCTATTGCGAGCGGATCTGTCTCTTTACCATGGTCAACCAATATGGGGGCGCTCATACTAAAGAGGTGCGAGCAAAAAAAAAAAAGTTAAGAAGAATATGAATCACCATTGGTGGCGAGTCAACCAAACGACTCACCTGATCTGTAATGCGCGTGTGCCAAGTATCCTTGCTCGCTCGTATTTGGTCATATATGGTGTTGTTACTTTCTCTTTTGCCTTTCCAATGCCATCTTCTACATCCATCTGCACTCCTCCATCAACTCCATTAGGAAGCACCACTATATTTCCATCAGCTGTTCCGGCTACCGCTGCATCACCCGGCCCTTCTGCATCGTAGTCCTGCTGATTCAAGTCAATGTCATCCTCATCTTCATCACCATGGTAATCGTCCTGCGTGTGTCCACGACATTCATGTGAGATCATGGCAACTATAATCGTAAAACAGTAAGAACGGGATTACGAAAGGAAAAAAGCCTTTACCATGGTATAGTCGTTTTCGAATCTTTATAGAGTGAGCAGTTTGACGTAGCGACAGCACGAGGGTATTAGATCAGCCAAATCACCAGACGAGATCTATTACTATAAGACAACTAGTCTGATCCTGTGAAGTTACTTACGTATCCTCCTGGCCATCGTAGTCATCGTATTCAGACATTTTATAAAGTTCACGTCTACAAAGGAGGGATTGGATGAGAGAGTTGTATTAAGAGATGTCGACTATTGCCAGAATAGTTGAAGGTTACGTTCAGAACTCTACAAATTAAGGTAGACTTTTTATTGATTTACCCGCAGTATGGTAGAATGTCAGTGTGTCGATCATAACAATTTAGGAGCGAATGACCTTACCATTCATGGTAATCTCTTATCCAAAATATTAACACAACTAATCTGATGATAACGTATAGCTGCTATGTACTTGGGGTAGCTGAAAAGTTTTGATCAATTCAATACAACGTTTAAGCCGGTTTTGCTAACTCTCAAAACACCTCTTTTAGAGCATCCTCCAGCTGTGAAAATGTAGAGCCATTTTTTTAGCAATTAATTCGAGAATAAAAAGGTAATTGATTCAGGTTTTTTGTACTGTATACAAAGGAACAAACCTAAAATGCAATATCATTTGTTTTGTTAACCATGCGATCAAACTTTTCAGCCAACCCACGTACTGTAGGCATAAATTGCACAGGAAAGCAAGGTATTTTAGTATAATTTTGTCACGGAAACTTACCTCAAACGAAAAGCAGTATGAACACACTAACTTTGAAAACATTGTTTTTATTATGTTTGTAGTCTAAGCAAGCACATAATAGTAATTGACACTTACAATAAGATAATCCGCTCTTTACTTCTAAGCATCGTGTAATAATACACTCTTGGGTTTAAAATTTATCGTTGGGAAGAATATAGAACTCGAGTTGTTTTTAAACGTGGAAACCCGCTAATACTACTAAAGGTTTTAATTATGGTTCCCTGCGTGTAGTCAATTTTGGCAAATGAGGTAGCACAATTTTATTGGTTAACTAGCAATGCTAGTGCTAGCTACATGCACTAATGCCATTATATCCTTAAAGTTTATTGTGGGCAGATTAAAACGAAATTTAAGGTCTTTTCAAAGCCTCTGAAACCCACATATATATCAAACGTTACCCTAAATTCTAACCCAAATTCAAATATTAAAATAAAAAAATGTCGGTTTAATCCGATTTCGCACCATGCAATAATACACGTACATTAAAATTTGAGAAATAATTATTACATGTAATTTGCAATAAATTTGTGTGTGCATGACTTTTGTCCAGGTAACATCTGGATTGGACTGCTAATAATACGGTCTTATCGAATAGCATCAGCAAAGAGCTTCATCATTGTTCGCCGCTGGGTGCAAAAGTGAGAGACAAATTGTATAAGAGTTATAACACATTGAATTGTTCATATAGAATATGTTTCTAGCTTGGTCGCATGAGAAAGTCGTGAATAATAACAGTTGTATATTCATCAAGAGAATAATTAAAGTGAAGGAACGAGATCATAAAAGAATCCGGTTCATTAGTATGTGTCGATTCAATTAGACCAGATCTTCCGCTCGTAAAGTATGATCTCATATTTAGATTGGCGTTATAGAGAATTTTATACCAGAGCGAGCTAGTATTCTGGTATAGCTGACGTTCCAACGGCATTATTGTATTAGCGATATTATTGCGAGATAATAAATCGATGTCCATATTTGGCGCCGAAACGCGTCTTTGTTGTTGCTGTTATTTGTTATCGTTTATTAATTAAGAAATGATTACGCTACAAGTGGCTTGTAATCAATGATTACCTTTATATTGGCATCACTATGGTGTATTCCTTTTTCTTGTTCTTTAGTTGATTCTCCTTTGAGTATTTTGTATCATGCACCCCTTTATACAACATAGCAGCCTCAAATGCACCACATTCATGTATCCCTTCCATTTCATGAATCAGCCCGTCTATGCAACAACCCATTTGCTTTCTCTGTGACAGACACCAATTTCTGTTCTTGCAATTTGAGCTGGAAGAGCTGGAGCCTTCAGATCCAAAATTGTTAAAAAATAAATAAAAACATTCAGTGATTTGTGTTGATTTCCGCTACTTAATACACATCACTCCAGCCTCAACAAAATAAATTAGGTTATACCATTACCATCCAACATCCATACCCATTTTTGGGTCCTGTCGAGCCAATACTCGGGGGAGAGCGGAACGAATACTGACCTTGGGATTAGCCTTTTTCCAACGAGATCCTTGATTACCTCTACTTCGGTAAATCCGCTAGTGACGTTTGGTGACCTTTAAGTT